GGTGAGGAGGTGAGATGGCACCTGTTGGCTCCAACAAAGAGGCGAGCAAACAGGGGTCCTCCGTGGCCCTCAGCCCTTCGCCCCTGGCACTGTAGGTGCCACTGCTCCCTACACCCTTTCCTGCAGTTTGCTTGTCCTTTTCCTGGCTAAGCTGAGGGCTTTGGTGAGAGGGCCTCTGTTGCTTTCCCTCACCTCCCCGAGCGCCTGGCTTTAGTGTTCAGCATTAGCATTTGTTGAGTGCGTGTGCAAGTGTTTGTGCCTCCGTCACAGGGAGCATTCATACCGGGATGTCTGGGATTGTCACCAACTCCAGCAACATTAGGTACTAGGGGACAGTGCAGGCTAGTGAAGAGAGGCAATGACTGTATATGGGATCAATGGCTTCCTTCTTCTGGCTTCAGCTTTCTCTGAAATACAGTCATGCGTCACTTAATAACAGGGCATATTCTGAGAAATGTGTCTTTAAGTGATTTCCTCAGTGTGAACATCATAGTGTGCGCTTATGAAAATCTAGGCAGCAATGATGTCACCAAGCAATATCTGCTTATGGGAACAACATTGTAAATGCTGTCTTTCATTGACAGAAATGTCATTATGCATCAAGTGACTGTCCAGCCACCTCAGAGCTGCCCACTCTTGAGAATATCCATTTGCTTTTGGATTTTGTGGAATAAAGTTCTAGAATGTTTCCCTTTCCCCCTGTCCTGAGCAGGGCGTTCCCTCTTGATGTAGGACTCCTTATCCTGGGGCAGGGCCATTCCTCCAGCCCCCTAGAGTGACTCCCTGGCCCTGTCCTGGTGGTATCCTGCCCCGCTCCACCCTTAACCACCCTCTGATGGTGCTCCTGCAAGGTGCTGGGTGAGGCACCTGACAAGGCTCAGGAGGCTGTTGAAGGACCAGTCCCCAGAGGGGGCCAGGGCTGATGGAGAGGGGAGGAGGGTAGTGGTTCCAGAACCACCAAGTATCCAGCCCAGGCTGGGCTGGAGAAACTGCTGGAAGGAGAGCAGAGGTGAGAGGCCTTAAGTTCCAGGAATCTGAACTTTATTGCCGAGGCAGGGATATGCCCTGGTCCCAGCCAGTCCCTCTGGATGACAGGGGAGATAAGGTCAACATCCCTGGCACCTTCTGTTCCAGAGTTTTCTATGCCCAGGCTAAATAGGCATGCTTCTCCCACCCGGGTTCCCTCAGCTGTTCTTGGAATCTCCCTGACTCATCTTCATGCTAGTGTGGGTGGTGGGACAGCGTGGCAGTTCTTGCAGCACCTCTGTCCCCAGGCTAGTCCTCAACAGGAGACTCATGGAGGCACTCCTGGTAGAGTGTGCATGTCTTGCAGCTGGTCAACGTGGCCTCTTCCTGTCTGTCACAGGAATCAGCCTCCTCATCCCTCCGGACGCCATCCCCCGAGGAAAGATCTACGAGATCTACCTCACACTGCACAAGCCAGAGGACGTGAGGTGTGGGCTGAGTCCTGCTGCCGGGCGGGAAGGGTCCTGCTTGCTGCCTTCTGTCTCTGGGACGCCCCTGCCCACTCACCCCTGTGCCTGGCCTGAGGGAGGGCAGAAGAGCCACACCCTAACCCACCAGGCTCTGTAGTCCTCAGCCCTGGGTGCTGCTGCCCTGCCCGAGGCCCGGCGCCCTGGCCCCTGGTCCCCAAACAGGCCACTGACTCCTTTCCCTCCCCACCCATATTTCCCCACTTGAGGTTGCCCCTAGCTGGCTGTCAGACCCTGCTGAGTCCCATCGTTAGCTGTGGGCCCCCCGGAGTCCTGCTCACCAGGCCCGTCATCCTCTCCATGGACCACTGTGGGGAGCCCAGCCCCAACAGCTGGAGCCTGCGCCTCAAGAAGCAGTCGTGTGAGGGCAGCTGGGAGGTGAGCAGAGATCAGCCCCAGCCTGCCCACCCCCAGTGCTGGCCTCGTAGCCTCCTGCTGGCTCAGGCGAGGCCCTCAGCAGCCAGTTGGCCCTGAGCCACCTCCAGAGCCCTCCCTAGTCTCTGGCTACTTCTCAGAGCTGAGACTGGCCTAAGGGCTCCCAGATTGGGTAGAACTGACCATTGGGCCCACCCGCAGGACGTGCTGCACCTGGGCGAGGAGGCACCCTCCCACCTCTACTACTGCCAGCTGGAGGCCAGCGCCTGCTACGTCTTCACCGAGCAGCTGGGCCGCTTCGCCTTGGTGGGAGAGGCCCTCAGTGTGGCTGCGGCCAAGCGCCTCAAGCTGCTTCTGTTTGCCCCTGTGGCCTGCACCTCCCTCGAGTACAACATCCGAGTCTACTGTCTGCACGACACCCACGATGCACTCAAGGTAGGGCCCTCCCCCAGCTGCGGCCCTGTGGGCTGACTGCCCAGGGCTCTCAGCATGGAGTCCCTTGCTTCAAGGGCAGCGGAGAGGGGCTCTCCCAGCCCCCAGGCCCTGCTGACGGCCTGGACACTGCAGGAGGTGGTGCAGCTGGAGAAGCAACTGGGTGGACAGCTGATCCAGGAGCCTCGCATCCTGCACTTCAAGGACAGTTACCACAACCTGCGCCTGTCCATCCACGACGTACCCAGCTCCCTGTGGAAGAGCAAGCTCCTTGTCAGCTACCAGGTGAGGCAGAGCCCACTGCCAGCACTCGGGGGCTGCCACTGGGCACACCTGACGCCTGCTGTCTGCCTTCCCCCAGGAGATCCCCTTTTATCACATCTGGAACGGCTCGCAGCAGCACCTGCACTGCACCTTCACTTTGGAGCGCGTTAGCCCCAGCACCAGTGACCTGGCCTGCAAGGTGTGGGTGTGGCAGGTCGAGGGTGATGGACAGAGCTTCAACATCAACTTCAACATCACCAAGGTGGGCAGAAGAGACAATGTGCTCCCACCACCGTACCCCAGAAACACCTCCCCGCCTGCTCTGCCACCAGTCCCCCTCACTGCCCCCAGGCCCACCTCCTTCTAAAAACCACTTGGCGCCTTCCAAGTGTCCTGGGGTGAGAGGTTCACAGGCAAATGAAACTTGAAGAGTGGTGTCAAGCAGGGTGTGGGAGCAGGGCTGGGGGGTGCTGTAGGGGTTCCCCCTGGGAGGGCTTGGTACCGGCCTTGAAGGTTAAGCAGGAGTTGACAAGCAGCAGGGCAGGGAAGGACATTTCCAGCAGCAGGAGCTGAGGAGGGAGGACTGAAGGCAGCAGGAGCAGTAAGTGCTGGGTGGTGGCAGGGCTGGCCGAGGACTCAAGGTAGGGGAAGGGGGCCAGAGAGTGCCTCTGCTCACTGGCTGAGACTTTGGGCAGGTTGTGCACCTTTGATCCCAGGGTCCCTCTGAAGTCCAGAGAATAGGGCTTGGCACCGAGTGAGGGGTGCTCAGGAAGCCCCAGTGCCCACGCCACCTCCATGTTCTGGGATGTCTGGGAGCTGCCCCAGCGGAGGTGGCAGTGAGAAGCATTCTAACACCATCTCCACCTCCTTCCCTTCCCCAGGACACGAGGTTTGCTGAGCTTCTGGCTCTGGAGAGTGAAGGGGGGGTCCCAGCCCTGGTGGGCCCCAGTGCCTTCAAGATTCCCTTCCTCATTCGGCAGAAGATCATTACCAGCCTGGACCCGCCCTGCAGTCGGGGTGCCGACTGGCGGACTCTAGCCCAGAAACTCCACCTGGACAGGTGGGTGGGACCCGGGCAAGGAGGGGTTGTGGAGGCCCCCAGCAGTCCAGGTGGGACAGGCGGGGCAGGCAGGTGGCCTGCAAGGCCCTGCAACTTCCACCAGTGACTGGGGCAGTTACGGCATTTGGCTGAGGGGTGGTCCTGTCCTTGGTAGGCTGCGGTGTGAGGTGGCAGCCCGAGGTGAGGTCAGGCCACTGATGGGCTCTCCTCCTCTCTGCAGCCATCTCAGCTTCTTTGCCTCCAAGCCCAGCCCCACAGCCATGATCCTCAACCTGTGGGAGGCACGGCATTTCCCCAACGGCAACCTCAGCCAGCTGGCAGCGGCAGTGGCCGGACTGGGCCAGCCAGACGCTGGCCTCTTCACGGTGTCAGAGGCCGAGTGCTGAGACCAGCCAGGCCCATAACGCCTACACTCTCACCAGCTTTGGCACCTGCCAGGGACAGAAGCCGGACAGGGGCCCTACCCCCCCGTACCAGGGAGAGCTGCTTGGACAGGCCCCCTCCCGGCCGAAGTTGTCCCTTAATGCTGGCCCTTCAGACCCTGCTCCAACTCCCATCCCTCCCTGGCCTGCCTGGCCAGCCTGGCCCAGCCACCTGCTCACACTATGCCTGGCCCCAGGGCTCAGGGTGGACAGTGCCTGGAGCCCAGGTTGGGCCCAGCCCATCTGTGTATGTGTGTGTGTGCGTGTGATGCTACCTCTCCTCCTGCCCCTCCCAGGGGCCCGCATACACATGGGCACACGTGTACACGCTAGGCTCAGAATGAGGCCCCTGGGGCTCCTGCCTGAGCTGGGCCTTATGCAAACATTTCTGTGCCTGCCGGGTAGGGGCACGCCTGAGGGGCCTGGCTCCATGCCTGCCGGACTGAGGACCCCAGCCAGACGGGCTGGCCCCTGGATTCAGGCACACAACCACCACACGGGCATGTGCCCATGCATGCCTTGTGTGCCCATCTCACATGCACCCCTTCCTGGGTCACACAGACCCCACCACCACACGCATCTCATGCTGTACACCCAGAGGTCGCTCACGTTTCACGCCTGGTGTCGGTACACATCTGCCTCACATGCTGCCCTTCTCCCACCCACCCAGGGACACCTGACGGCTCCTCCCCGACCCTTCCCCTGATCCCAGCCTCGAGGTGCCCTGCCCGGCGGGGCGTGTGAATATGCAATGGGAGTCCCGGGCTGTACAACGGCGAGTGTGTGTGCTGTGGCATGCCCGTTCCTAGGGCTGGCCGGTGCCCCCATGTGGGGCCTGTCGTGTGAAGCTTGTGTCCTGACTCTGTCTTAAGTGCATTCATGCACTTACACTTGGCCTTATGTACACAGCCTTGCCCGGCCGCCGGGGCGCATAGGGATTTTAGCGGACGTGAATGTAAATAAATTATATATATATATTGCTAACCCATGTGCTACCTCTCTTGGGAAAAGCTATCGGGGAGGGTAGATGGCCACAGAGGTATCATACATGGACTATTCTGAGAGTCCCTGGTGGCTGGTCTGGCTTGAAGACGGGCTAGGTCCAGGCCCTGGTCTGGCAAGACTAGGGCTGAGATCCCAGGGTTCCTGTGGATTTCTTCAGACACGGGTCTTCTGAGCAAGGCGACAGGCAACAGCAGTGACCAAAGCTGCACCTTTGCCAGATCCATCCTCTGACTGCAGGAAAGTGACTTTACAGCGAGGGGCCAGTTCCCGTACTGTGGCTGCTACCAGGCTGGAGAAGCTGTGAAGAGAAAGAGCTGAGATGAGCCCGAGGCCAGCCCAGCCCCGCAGCCATGCTTCCCTGCCTGGCTCATGCACCCAAACTCACTGGGGATGCAGCTTGTAGAGGGTCCCATCCACCCCCACGGAGATTGTCAATTCCTCCAGGCCACGGTTCTCCCGGATCTTCTCCACCACGGCAGCTACACCTGCCCCACAGAGTTGAGCAGCTCTCCGGGACACAGCCTGGCACACCTCTAGGACCATCAGGGCATCGTCTGAGGTCAGGGGAAGCCCCAGATCCTCCAGGATGGCTCGGACCTGTCGCAGAGCCAGGCTGTCGCTGGGGGACAGAAAGGAATAAAGCACAGAGGTGGGATCCTGCATTAGCTCCCCCTCTCTCAAGATTTTTCCCACCTCATCCTCCAGAGAGGACCCAACCATCACCAGCAGGCAGCATTCCCCCACAGTGGATGGATAGACTCCTTTGGGGAGTAGGAAGCCAATGCTGGCCTTGGGTACCTTTCAATCTCAGAGAGAAACTTGGTCTTGAAGATGTCCCTGGTCTGAAGGCACTGGGTCTGCTGGCCTCGGAAGAGAACTCCAAGGCTGGTCAAATGCAAGAGGATGTGGCGGACAATCTCCCCCAGGTACATACCACTGATCATCTTCTCAAATCTGCATGAACATGTGTGTGTCTGCCTGGGGCAGGAGGGCCTGGCAGCTCCTGTCCCCAGAGCCTGCCACTGCCAGCCATCACTGCCCAGGCCCAGCCCGCACCTCTGCTTGCCAGGATTGATGGATGCCTGGTCCACACTCTCATCAAAGCAGGTGCTGAGCATGCCCAGTGAGCCATCATCCCCAAAGGCTCCCCACTCCATGTTGATGCACATTTGGCCTGACTCGTCGGCCATGTCCACCACATTTGGGAGCTCTTCCATGTAGCAGGCATTGGTTCCAGTTCCTGCAGAGAAGCCAGATGGGGTGGAAAACACTTTTTAATGCAGACAAAACCCCTCTGAGCCCTTCCCACACCAAAATGACAAAATTCGTGCTCCCTCCCTACTTCTCCATCTTCCCACATTCAAAACCTGTCCTAGTCCTCTTCCTTCCTTCCTGACATCCATAGTGCAGATCCTGTCTGCACCAAGCACTTTGGGCCTCCACTACCTCCCCTACCAGTACCACGATCAGGGCATCTGCCATGCTGCCCAAAAGGGCCCCTGCAAGGTCCATCAGTCACATTATTCCCCTGGGAGATGTGATGGCCCACTGCATCAGCTGGTAAGAGGCTAGAGAGCTCCCTAGTCTTGGCTTTCTAGACCTTCAGTCAACTAACTGGTACTGGGCCAGGCCAGGAACATACAGGGAAATCCAACATAAGGAACCCCACCATCTGGCCATAAGTTGGATAATGAATGGCCATCTCTGATGGACATCTACAGGCCCTAAGTAGAAGTACAAAAGGGCGGCATCATAGGAGTCCTGGAACTCAGGGTAGGTCTTGCTGCCTACAAGGTAAAGAAAAGCTACAGAGAGAAATCAATGTCTAAATTGGGCTTTGAAGCCAAGAGGCATGGAGAAGGAAAGGCATTCCAGGCAGGAGGCACAGTCTGGCCAAAGGCATTTCCCCTCTCTCCCTACATATTTCAATCCTGGGAAGATGGGCTTCTTGCCACCTGGAATTCCTCTATCCAGTAGATTATTCCCATGGCCACATGGATATACCTCTCCTGAGCGCCTGCCGGTGCCAGGCCCTGTGTTCAAGAAGCTCCAGTCCACGAGAAGCTGCTGTGTGTCTTGCACTCTAAGAGACTCTTAAGGAGCTTGGGGAGCCCTCCTTTCCTTCAAAACTTGCAAGTCCCACCTGTCTCAGGGCCCACTTCTTTCTGATCTTGGCCTTGTACCCACCCATGTGTAGAGTTAGAATCAGTTCTCTCTCACCCATGGGCTGTTCTATGCTCAACCCCACAGGATGGTCAATTCTGAAAATGCAGAATTTCCTTCGTTTATATGTGCTTTGATTCCAGCTGGCCTCAGTGTAGGTGCTTAATAAAGACATTGAATCTTAGACTGTCTGAAGGACCCATATAGCTCATGGGTCCCTCCCTCATGCTCCTTGCCAGTTCCAGAATTGAGTATGCAGTACAAGTCAGGCATTGGGCACACTTCCCCCCCCACCCTGTATTTCATCTTCACTATTATTAGAGGCACTATTATCTGCTTTATACAATAAGGAAACTGAGGGTCTAGTGACTTGCCCAAGGTCAAAAGGTAGAAGTGACAAAACTACTATTTTCACCCAAATCTATATGACTCCAAAGCAGAGATTCATGATAAATGAATCTGCCCATCTGATAAATATGGGCAAACTGAGGCTTAGAAATATTTAATGACTGTGTCAGTAACTGAGGTGGATGAAATACTCCAACTCCAGACTCCCAGCCATATACAGTATCCCAGGACCCCACTGGGTCAGACAGGAACAATTCTTCATCCCCAGGGCCAAGGGAACATCCAACCCAAGGAATCAACAGGAGGCAGCAAATTATCAAGCAGTAGGGGCACAAAAGGGCAGGACCCTCCTCACCGACAATGAGGCCTATCTCGCAACGGGGATCCTCATAGCCACAGGACATCATGGTCCCCACCGTGTCATTGACAATGGCAACAACATTCAGCTCCACTGCCTGCACACAAAAGGATGCTGCTAGTTGCTGGGCAACGCGGTCGTCACGGCAACCAGCACTGGACCCAGAGGTCTCTATTGCAGAGGACCCCCCTCTCAGAAAGCAAGAGACCCTTGCTCCCTTCAAGGCCTCCTGCAGCCCAAAGCACCCCTCGGGGCAGGCTCTTACCTGTCTGCGTTTGATGGCTTCCCGCAGCAGATGCACAACATCATGGCCCTCACAGTCTGATGCATTGAAACCCTTAGTCCAGTTTAGAAGGATGCCCTGAGGTGGGACCAAGAGGAAACGGGAAACTGGGGGTCCCTTCACTCTGCCTCCCCAAAGCCAGCATCCCAACAAAAGCTACAATTTCTGCTACAGTTTCCTTGACCACTTTGCCCTATGGTCAAAAGCCTTGACTTCTGCTCCCTCCCAACTCCCCAGGAGGATTTCAGTGTGAAAAAACCTATTAATAGTGATTTGACCTACATCTCTCATTATTAGTTCTAGAACTCACAGACAGTCTGAGGGTCTGGCCATTTTAAGACATTTGCCAGAAGGAATGGCCCTTTATAACTGAGTCAGGACTAAACAGAACTGGTAAAGTGAGTGCTGTAGGTGAGAAAGAGGACAGAGAAAGCTCAGAAGCTCAAATGCCAGCAGATCCCACCTTCTCTGAGAGAAATCAAAAGTCACTGGAAAGGAAGGAATACTCAGAGTTAGGGATGGAACTGTGTCAATGTCAGATTCACTCGTTTGTCCCAGTTATGGGTAAAGGACAAATGGAAAAGCGAGACACTCGGACAGGATGAGGGGGGCAAGACAGACACACTTTCATTGTGAGGAACTGGACTTAGATTAGTGACAGGGAATTGGACTGTACCTGAAGAGGTTTGTTCTTGTTAGCCCCCTCTGAGGGAGGGGCAGGAGGAGTGAGTAAGGCCAGTGCCATCAGGGGAAAATGACTACTCTGCCCAAAGAAGTAGGCAGGGCTGGGAATTTTTGGAGCAGATTCTATTATTTTGTTTTGTTTATATGAGATGGGGGTCTCACTATGTTGATCCCTAGGCTGGCCAGGAACTCCTGACTCAAGGGAGCCTCCCATCTCAGACTCTGGAGTAGCTGAATCTGCAGGCACATGCCACCACTCCCTGCTAGTGCAGTGGATTTCAGAAATAGTGAACAACATTTCTCCCCAGTCATATTGCCTTATGTCCCTTTCCCCACTCTACAGCAGTGAGACACCGTGTGCTCATTGTCTCAAAAACACAAACCAGAGAGTATGAGAGACTAGAGGGAGAAGCAGTTTGAGAGAGACCAAATGATGGGAAATAATAGTTTCCCTGCCCCAGACAAGATGGACCCCCTGTCTGGGGCAGTGGAGGCAGAGGGGAACTCCGACCCAGATTTTTGATGGTTTCCTGAGAAAGGTGTCATATGCTCCCCATCCTGAACTAAACTTGGATGGTGGCGGGTGGGGGAGAGACAGAAGGGATTTGAGTGACCTGAGAACAGAAGAGGCTTCAATCTTCATTCTCCAAGTAAAGCCTAGGGAAGTATTAAGATTCAAGAGAAGTCTGGGCATGGTGGCACAGGCCTGTAATCCCAGTGGCTTGGGAGGCTGAGGCAGGAGGACTGCGAGTTCAAAGCTAGCCTTAGCAACAGACTTAGTGAGGCTCTAAGCAACTTGGCAAGATCCTGTCTCTAAATAAAAAATTAAAAGGGCTGGGGATGTGACTCAATGGTTAAGTGCCCTTGGATTCAAATACCTGGTACAAAAAAAAAAAAAAAGACTTAAGACAGAAATTGGCAGAAGGAGATTCCCAGAGAGTTGACTAACACTAAGTTTTAACTTCTCAAAAGAATGTGGGCTCCACACAAAGTAAAGTTCAGTTATAGAAATTAATCAAACTGTTCTGGGCATGGTGGCACATGCCTGTAATCCCAGTGGCTTAGGAGGCTGAGGCAGGAGGGTCACGAGTTCAAAGCCAGCCTCAGCAAAAACGAGATGCTAAGCAACTCAGTGAGACCTTGTCTCTAAATAAAATACAAAATAGGGCTGGGGATGTGGCTCAGTGGTGAAGTTCCCCTTAGTTCAATCCTCAGTACCATACAAAAAGATTTAAAAAAAGAAAGAAAGAAAGAAAGAAATGTATCAAACCATGTTTCTTACATGCCTGGGTTTATACCTGAGTCATACCTGCTTCTCACACCTTGCAAAGAATAATCAAAAGTAGCAAGCATGCTTAGCCTGGAGCTCAGCAGACCAGTCGAGAGATGGCAGCAGATTGTGCTGCTGTCGTACATGTGGAAGGACACACTGCAGTGTGTTCTGAGTGGGGATGCTGGGTCTAGACTTGTGCCTGTTACTCTGCCACCCCCCTCTAGCACCACCCCCACCCTACACACGGCTCTTTCCCTGGCTCATGCACACTCTATGACGGATGTACGGGTAGGAACCCCTTGGGGATCACTTTTCCTGGCCCTCACTCCCTTACCTGGTCCAGGCCAACCTGCTTGCATGGGAAGGAGAAAGTGAAACCCAGGGGGAGGCTCTGTCCACTCATGCCCTGCCTCTGCTGGAAGTCCACGATGCAGTCCACGATGTGGTCAAAGAGCTGCAGGGTGTGGCAGGTCAAGACATGGGCGCCAACCGTGCCCGCCCCCAACCCTCTGACGGGGCCTGCTGTGAGTACCTGCTGCCCAGAGCCCTGGGCCACACACTCAGGGATGGAGTAAACCTGGTTGATGATCTGCACACCTCCCTCTGTCAAACGCACCAGGAGGACCCGGAAGTTGGTGCCCCCCAGGTCCAAAGCCAGAAAGTCTCCTCGCTCTGTGGGACAGAGACACTCAGTACCAACACAGTGCTGGCGGCTCCAGCCCCAGCAGACTCTGTGACTCCCAGACCCACACTCAGGCCAGGTCCTCACCGCTGCCATCAGGTGTGGCTCGCACGTAAGTGGGTAGCATACGGAGAGAGGAAGCCTCCCCTCGGAGCCCCTTGGCCATGGCCTCCCGCATCTGCGCTTGCACGGCTTTCAGCTGCTCCAGGTTCAACCGGAAAGGTGCCAGGGTCTCCTCCAGCAGGCGCCGGTGGGCAGCCAAGCGGGCAGCCACAGCTGTCACCATTGCCACACCCCGGCCACCTCCATCCACAGAGGGGATAAAGGAGACATCACATTCCGGGACCAAGAGCATCACTGTCTCCTGCAAAATGCTGTGGAACCTACACAGACATACACCAGGTGCACCCAGCTTGATATCTGAGCCCTTTGCTGAAGCCCTGGGCCCTATAATTTTAAATCAACTCAATCCTAAATCAGTTCTGTGCACCAACAATACATCTAAGAGTCCCCAGTGACCCCCCTCCATGGCACAAGCAAAAAGAAACATTTTTTCTCTTGTTGGCTGTCTCCTGGCCTCCCACAGCCCAATCTGGCCTTCACTCTGCTTAGGTGCATTCATATCCACTGGCTTACACATGTGATCCCAGGTGCCCTCTGGGTGTCTTATCATAAATACACGCATGTTCAGGCTATGTGTCCATATTCTCACAGTACCTGAGGTGCTGCTCAAACACTTGACCTCCTGTGGCCACAGCAACCTGGAGGGTCTGCTGCTCCCGGCTGTGCTGCAGGCGGGACAGGACTGCAGCCAGGGCCGCCGCACAAAGCTGGGCAGCCCGCGTGCACACGGCCGCGCACACACGCTGCACAAGCTCAGCATCTGAAGCCTCCAGGCTCAGACCCAGGTCCTGCAGAATTGTGTAGACACGGGCTGCCCCAGTGGAGGGGCTGGGGCAGGTAGACAGGATAATTGTTTGGGGCTCAGGCAGCCCAGTAGCTCCCCATCCCACAAAATCCCCATGGCCACCTTCTGTTTCCCAACCTGAGAATCCCCTTGCCTGAGCTGCCAGCCTCCCCCACTTACTCCTCCATCTCAGCCACATGCTCCAGACGGATGCTGCCTTGGCTCAGCAAAGCAGGAGAGGTACAGCCACCAAAGAGGACGCCACGACGGGCCAAGTGGGCCAGCACCAGTCGCACCAGCTCACCCAGGTATAAGCCCCCAATCATCTTTTCAAACCTGCAAGTGGAAAGGGTAGCTGGACAGCCCTGCTGAAGCCCTCAACCTACCTGGCTCCACCTCCAAAAGCCCCCAAAGAGGAGTCACTTTCTATACCGAAACCCCCAACTGGAGACTCCCAACTGGAACCTCCCAGAGGACAGAGCATGTTGCCCCCTCTGACTTAAGGTAAGTTCACGGGCCTCCTGGAGGCACAGCAGGATCTAAAGAAGGCAAGGCACACCTGACTCAGCTATTCTGAACCCCCAACATCAGCCATCTATCAGGGCTGATGAGAGTCAGGAATAAAGGAGTGTCCAGGGTTGAAAACTCTGGGTTCTAGAACCTTGAGGCCTTTCTTCTTTGAACCTTGCCAGGATCCCCCAGGGTGCAACTGGGAACCTTCAGAGTAAGAGGAAGGAGTGGTAAGGGCCTGAGTGTAGGGATAGCAGAAGAGGTGAGTCAGAGCAGCGATAAGGCCTAGACCAGGGTCAGGACCCCCTGCTAGGTCACCTCTGGGCACCAGGATTCAGGGACTCCTGATCCAAGGCATGGTCGAAGGTGGTCATCACTGGCCCCAGGGCCCCATGATCGTTGAAGGATCCCCATTCAATGCTGACGCAGGTGCGGCCCCGGTCCTCATCCAATACGGCCACATGCCTCGCCTCCTCCATGTAACATGCATTGGTGCCAGTGTCTGGCAGAGATAGCTCCATCAGGTCCTGCCCGCCAGGCAGCCACACCCACCACCCCTCATCTAAAAAGGTCTGTGACTCACCTACGATGAGCCCAATCTCACATGGACGGGTTCCTGGCTCACAGCCCATCATGGTGCCCACTGTGTCGTTCACCACAGCAACCACGTCAATGCTGTAGGCCTGGGCAGTGGACAGGGCAGAGTTGGGACTGGCCTGATAGCCAGAGTGGGATCCCTAGGGCAGGGCTTTGATGGAGACATCCAAAGTCCATGAAACGCAAGTGTTTGCATTCCCAAACACAACATCCAGGGCCCCTATAAAAGGTTTTCTTCCCATCCCATCTTCAGCTCCTCCCTTCCCCAAATCAGGCCTCAAGGTCATGGGTTCCCACCTTCAGACACCACATCCAGAGCTCCTCAAGATGACGGTCTCAAGACTGAGCCCTTCTTAGGGTTGCTCTCCTCACCTGCATCCTGGCCTAGCTCCCCAGGCCCTAGTTACTGCTTGCTCTAACACTTTGGCCTCTGCCCACCTTTGAACTAGATCCTCCTCCCCAGCCTCACCATAAACACTAGGCAAATTTTTCCTTCAAGTGCCTGCTCCCTCTGCAGTCAGAACACAGAGACAATCTTTTATTAGAATGTGACACAGGTAGACTGTAAGAACCTTGAGGACATAATCACAGTTTTTATTTTTTGTCCAGTACCACCACCAGGGCACTGAACATTTCCTTAGCCCAAGTTACCTTGCCTATACAATGGGAATGGTGGCAACCAGGGTTAAACCAGATAAAAGCAGTGAGCAGGAAAGAAAGGCAGGACCTTTCTGAAGCACAGGCACAGCCCATAGATGCAAGCCTAGGCCAGCCAGGGCCGCCATCCCATCACCTCTATTTCCACTCACCCCCTGCCTCTGAATGGCATCTCTCAGCAACTGGACCACATCCTGGCCTTCTACACCGCTGCACCTAAAACCTTTAGTCCAGGAAATGAGGGTGCTCTGGGAGGCAGAGAAGTGGAATCAATCCTCTAGTGGCTTTCATGATGCTACAGCCCCTCTCCACACACCATTCCCAGGCCTGCTCCACCTCACCTTGTCCAGGCCTGTTTGGTGGCAAGGGAAGGAGAAGCTGAACCCAAGCTGCAGGCCCCGATTTCCCACGGGGTGTGCATCCAGGAACTCAGACAAGCAGCAGGCGGCAAAGTCAAAGAGCTGTGAGACAAGGAGTCAGGGCACTTAGCTCTGCCCACCTGAGCCCCAGCCACCCAACCGGGCCCAGGTCCTAAAGGCTGGCATTGATACTCACTTGCTGGCCAGTGCCCAGTACCACCTCTTCAGGAATCATGAACTCCTGGCTCCTGGGCTCCACCCTATGCCCCTCGATGCCCGTCAGAGTCACCCACAAGACTCGCAGTGAGGCCCCTGTGGCCCCTAGCTCCAGCACCAGAAAGTCTCCTTGTTCTAGGGGGCAAGCAGGTCATAGAAAGCCATGTAGCCAGCAAGATAGGTGCCCTCTGCCTCCCAGAAAAATTCCCAAGGCCTGCAAAATCTGGATAAAGGGAACTTAGAGATGGAACACAGGGATAAGATCAGTATTCTCTTCCAAGCCTGGTCACTCATGTTAGTCTAATGCCACCCACCAGTGCCATGTGGGGTAGACCCCACATATGTGGGCAGCATCCGGACAGCAGGAGCAGGGCTGGCCTGTCCCTTCAATGCCTGCTCCATGGAATCCAGGAGGCTGGCTTGGATCTGCTGCAGCTGTGTCCTTGTCACCTTGAATTGCTGTAGACATTCCTGTACCTGGGGAGAAACAAGCCAACTTCTGGAAGGAAACCCTGTTGCACTGGCCAGATTCTCCAACAGGAGCAGAGGCCTGCCTTGCTCATCTCGCATGCGCCTTTCAGTCCTTCAGCTTCCCAAGGGGCTGGCTTGGACCCTGTCCCCAAACCCCTCTGAACCTTGTCTAGCACCCGCCCATCCTACTCCTTGCCTCTTCATACACTGACTCTTATGGCCTACACCCAGCTTCTGTGTCCTCAGAAAATTCTGCTTAGGAGAGAGAAACCACCCACCTCCTCCTGCTCCATGTCCTGGTGGTTTCCTCTCAGCTCTAACATCCTCTTCCCTGCCTGTCTACTCATTTGGATGCAGGGTTTGGAAAGACCTCCCTCTTGTCACTATGACTGATTGCCCTCTGGCCCCCCAGTATCCAGAGCAAAAGCCTATGAACAAATGTGTGAACAAATATCAAGTGTTTGCCTTTCCTAACCCATTCTCATACTCTAGAGCCAGAACAAGCTCAGCACAGGAGAGTTTGGAGACCACAGAAGATGGTCTTCCCTTCATCAGTAATCCTTCCCAACATATCAACCAAGGCCAGCACTACTCTAAGCACCATACACCACATAACTAACCAAGTCCTGCTCTTGTAGAGCTCTGATTCCAGAATGAGAGACAGAAAATAAGTAAATAATAATATGATTGTGGTAGTTTAATAGTTTAGTGGCTATTAAGGGGGAGGGGAGCAGGATTGGAAGATCGAGAATGACTGGGGAGGAAAAGATCTCTTTAGATATGAATCCAGGAAGGCCTCCTTGAGGAGGAAACCTAAATGAAGGTTAGAACAAGCCATATGAAGATCTGAAGGATGAGCACAATGGGCTTTCTCTAGAGTTAGTGATGGATTTGGGGGAAGACCAGGAGTGGATTTGAGCCTGAAAGGAGGGCTAAGCAGGCAGGGGAAGGCAGAGGATGTGATACCCCAGGTTCCCACTCCTCCAAAAAGAAGAGCCCCAGGAGCCCCAGCTCTGTGTGCAAAAACCTCTGCTGGATTAATTTCTTGAGACTGGGAAACAGAGTTCATGAGGAAGAAAATATCCTAACTGGAGGGCTCCATGACATTAGTATGTGGCAGCTGCCAGCAACCACACATGCTTGGAAAGTTTACTCCTATGTTACAAATGAGGAAACTGAGGCTCAGAGAGGGCAAGTCATCTGCCTAGCCAGAGAAGGATATGAAGGAGCAGGGTGGATTGTGAACCCAGGTCACATGAACTATAGAGATGTTTCTATATCAATGTGAAGACTTGTAAAGACTAGCAACCACCCCTGAAAAGAATTTAAGGCAGGAAGAATACCCCAAACAAAAGAAAACTTAATCAGGGTCCTTGCCCTGCCCCTTTTCAGCCATGTAATCCTGGGAAAGGCACACTCTTTGTGAGCCTCACTCAACTCTTAGGAGAAATAGAAAATACAATATTCCTAAGTCCCCTGGTGTGGAGGACTATGTCTGTTCATGGCTCTCAGGGCCATGCCAAACAGGCTCTTGGGATTTGTTGATTGAATGGTTGTGACATGAGATAAATGGGAACAATGTTTGTGAAAGTGTAAAGTGCCATTCAAATGGGGGAGGAGACAACTGTGGAGTTATGGAGAAGTCAATGGCTTGGGCAGATTTATTTTTCTGCCTTTTCCTCCTGGGTACAATAAGGTTCAAGTGGAGAGACTAGGAGATGACCAAAGCCACAAGAAAGAACTTCTCTGGCACTCTGGTGGGGTGCACATCAGCCTGGAGAAACTTCTGGAGCCTCCCCTCCTATCCTATTCTTGGTTAGGAAGCAAGGAGCAAAGCATTAGATAGCCTGCGAAGTCCGTATGGCTTCCATGCTGGCTCCTTTAATTAACTCGCATGTTAGTGAGGAGCCATCACCTCACTTCTCTGAGCAAGTTACCTCCTCTATCAGGCAAGAACAAGAATAGTGCCCGCTTCTCAAAGAATGCTGTGAGGACAAGATTACAGATGGGCAGCAATGGAGCAGTGTCCAACACAAAAGAAATGCCTGGGGAATGTGGGTTCCCTTTCTTCAGAGCATGAGGTACAGCTAGCCCAGAGGGTCTGAATCTAGACCTTCTCTAGTTACAAAAAAAGACTTTGGGGAAGGGTCTGGGAAGGGTCTATGAGACAAGTAATTAACTTTTTCTCAACCTAAGGCTGTGGGCAGGGAGTCCAGGGTGAGACCTAGGTGCTGAGTAGGAGTCCAAAGCCACAGGACACTGGGTGTCCCTGTGAAGTTCCCCAAAGCCAAAGGGAATTACAGCTGCAGAGGCAGAGGGCAGATGTGGGATATGCATAGGAGGGAGGGGTGAAAAGGGAGTCGACGGCAGGTCCTAAAACAAGCCCTAGAGAGCAGTCATTGCTCATTCCTGCGACCCAGCTATGGGTTGGACACAGAGGAAATGTTTACAGCAGAGTCTAGGGTAAAAGTTGGACAGGAGAGGAGGGGGAACATGAAATGCAGTGAGGGGTGATGTCTTCACAGTTGGACAAGAAGCCTAGTGAGTAGATCTTAGGAGTCAGAAAACTTCAGAAACATGGGTGCCTCCGCTGTGCAGGTCCTTTATCTCCATGAGCTCATTTAACCATTCAGGAAATGGAGAACATTCAGCTTTATTCTCTTTCATTTTACTGATGAAGAAACAAACCAAGATATATGAAACAATTTACATAAGTGTTTCCGGCTCAAGGGTGTGGTAGGCAAGAGCTTATGAGTCTTGGTCAGATGGTGGGGAAAAAAAAGAGAAATTCACTTCTGAACAAACCTCGGGATACGGACTATGCCACATAATAACTTCCACGTTCAGTTCAGCACTACAATCAACCCTGGGTGTGAGGAGAGAGACATGTACAGGTGTGACTGGAGGAGTGGAAAGGGCTCAAGAATACAGCAATTTACAAGAAACTCCTGGGAGGGCTCATTTTGGATGTATGGACTCACTTGGGGTAGGGACGGTACCCATGTGGAAAGGTGGCAAAAACAATACTTCTGGAGCTGACACACCTCAGCTCAAGCTCCTGTCAGGCCTTAAACTCGAGTCATTTCACCTCTCTAAGCCTGTGAGCTAATCTTGCAGTTATTTGGAGCCTCAAAAGAAAGAGGTACTGGGTTGGAGAAAACAGCTTGGTAAACTGGAAAGAGGTCACACAGGTGTGATCTCCAGTCTTCCTGCTCTTCACATCCTTGGAATAAGCATGAAACAGGCCCCCAGCACTGAACTTACCAGCTCTGAGCTGTCTGAGGGCAGGGGTAACCCCTCCTGGGGACAGCCCAGGGCTCTTTCCCCAGGCTGCAACCCAGCAGGCCCAATGGAGTCCATGTGATTCCACAATGGGAGTGGGTCACCTACAGGAGAAAAGGGACAGCCAGGGTCAACCACATAATCTTTAGGCCCTAGGAGGCTGTAACTCAGACCTCCAACTCCCTTCCTTCTGAAAGGGACCAAGGAGGAGATTGTGGGCAGAATTCAGAAACTCTGATTATCAAAGATCCTTTAGCAATTAACCAGAAGGCAGTTAATTTCCAGAAGCATGTGTTAACAAGAGAGATTGGGAAGCTGATTTCATGTTCAATTGTCATTTGTTTATTCTGTCATTTATTTATATCCGGCGGCCTTCTGTGCAGGATGCTGGGGTGTAGATGAAGCAGATGCAGGCCCTATCCTCAGAGAACTCACAGCCTTACCAACAATCACAGCAGGGCTGGCACAGACTGTGGTATAGATGGACACATGTACTTAATGGTTGAACATGCTGCTATGATTGGAAGGTCAGGGATGTGCTTGAGGTCAAACGGTGTGAGAGACCAAAGATCTGCCAAAGAAGCAGCCAGGCTGGTCTGTGGATAGCCTTCAAGCCAGTCTAGGACGTGTGAATTTCATCTTGAAGGTGACAAGGAGACACAGAAAAGGGTCTGTACTTTGGAAACTGAATCTGTGCTTTAGAAAGCAGCTCCCCTGATGGTATGACTTTGGACAAGTCATTTATGACTTAGAATTTTGGCTGCATCATCTGTAAAGCAATAATATTTACCCTTGCAAGGCTGTTATGAACACAAAATGGAATAAAACCTGGGAAAATGCTTTGTGAAATGTAGGGTTACAGAACTGAGAAAACCCTGGACTGAGAGCCCAGGACCTGACTCTCCACGAGGACATGGCACCAGGTGTCCCAACATCAAGGCCACATTTTCTTTTTCTGTGAAATGGGGACTAACATGGAACCAAAATGTCAAAGTGCTATGTGGGGAAAATGAGACAATGAGAGCAGAAGATCCTTGCTTGGAGTGCACATCCAGATTTATTTAACCAAATCTGAAACCCTATGAGCCTCAATTTCCTCTTTGATACCATGGGAAAAAAAACTATGTTCTTCTGAGGATTAAAGGAGTTCATGTACCAGTGATTCAGGTACCCTTCAGGGTGGAGGAGAGGAGAAGCAGTGGAGGATCCAAGAGGGCCACAAGGCTTCTGTCCACTGAGCACTCTACCTCGCAACAGCAAAACTTCTGGAAACATAGTACCTTCCCACTACTGCAACTCCTTCTTACCTTCAAGCCCCATACTCCTATGAATTTGCCCTCTATGTGGTTAACTAAAACCTAATTTGACAAACCCAAACCCCTTCCCTCAGTGCATTTGCTGCTGTGTTCTCCCCTTCTTTGGCTCTAGCAGCCAGTCTCTCCTGGGTCTGCCTTTAAACAGTGGGGTTCCCAAGCCTCTGATCATGCATGCCTTTCTTCACAGTCCCTCTTTATCTCACTCATCCCCAAAGTTGAGTAAAACCTATGCAGGGATCCCAAAATCCCTGACCTGAGCCCAATCCTGTATGCCAGTGGTCTGTTAGATCTCACTACCTGGGTGCTGGAGAGACTCTTTAAGCTCAAAAACCAAAACTAATTTGTTTTCCTACTTTTCACCACTGAACTCCTGTCCTCCCCCTTGGCTGGAAGCATCAAAAGGCTTGCTCATCTACACAAACCATTTGGGTTGCTGGTATACATGCATTGCCACCTGTGTGTGCTTGATCTTGGGCTCTGGGAAAAGAGCTCTTTCAGTGTCCTCTCCTCCCTACCCCCACAACCACTGTCTGATTGTTCTAACAGCCTCTTAAGTAATACTTCTGCTTCAAGTCTATTCATCTTCTTGCCCAACTTGCAGCACATCACCAGCAACTGTCATTTAAGGGAAGTTCTGTCTCAGAAAAGAAAGCAAATATTCACACTATGATGGCTTCCACTGCAGTAGGGAAAGTCCAGAATTCTTTATGGTGGCATTGCGAGCCTTTTACAAACCCTCAACCTAAATTTCCTCTTGCTTATTCTGCTCCAAAAACCAGCCACAAGGACTACAAGCTCCCTAACTCTTGCTTGACAGGCTTTGTTCAAATTGTTTCCCAAGTTTGGAAAGTTAAACCCTGCAATATCTGAGTCTGCATCTTCAATGCTAGCACATGTTTGGGCATAGGATGTGCTAACACAACTTTATAAAATTGGAAGCAGAAGAAGAGGTTTTTATTTGGTGAACCAGAAGTCAGTTTCTGACAAATCTCCCCCAAATCACATGTACCTACATTCAGTTTCCAAATCTCTCAAATGGGACTATAACATGTTCATTCTATAAATGTTATAATGTGTTTTAACAATAAAATGAGGTAACTGTGGCAATTAATTACCTTTAGAAAGGGTTGAAGGCTACACGACATTCTCAGTTAAAGGCCCATCTAGCTCAATCATTCACTCACTCATTCAACATTTATTCATCATATGCCAAACTATGAAATTTCCCCCCTTAACTCTAGTATTAAACTATCTCCTGTGGGGAAGGACAAGTCTCCTTCAATACTGTACCCCAGAACCAGCCCAGGGTCTGCAAATTTGAACCAAGGGCTTCTTGGCTTCCCTTAACTAAATCAGCTACATTGAGAGACCATTCCTTCTAAAAGGTAACTCAAGTGAGGGTGGGAGTGGCCCTCACCATTGAGACCAGTGGCTTAGACTTTTGAGCTTCTACTTACCTCTTGGTGTGGGCCAAGCAGAAGGGATGAGGATAATAGGGCTGGGAAGCAGCAAGCCAGAATCACAGGAAGCACTCACCTGGGAGATATAGCAGTTGATTACCCTCCTCAGGGCTAAGCTCTTTTCTCAATGTGAGGCACACAGTGACCTGGTCTGTGTTCAAAAGTGAAACTCAGGGTGACCCAAGTTATAATGTCCCCAAGCCCCGCCCTTTCCCTCAGCTACTGCTTACCAGACATCCACTAATTCAGGAAGGTCAACTTCCTTCCCAGTTTGCTCTAAGAGGAACCTAGGGTAGCTAGGGCTATGGTGTAAAGTAAAGTAAGATGACCACAGGATGCTGGAACTGTGAATGGACTCAAGGATCCTGTGACATCCCTACTGCAATGCTAGAAATTCTGCTCCTTTTATAAACACTTCGGAGTTTTGAGGTGGTAGCACATCCCTGGAAAGGAGTGGGAGCTTAGCCTGGGAAATATGCAGTGTAACAAACAGCTTTAAAAAATGTGGTAAGAGGCAATGTAGAAACACAAGAGGAAGGGACTGACAGTGAATGAGTGCTAGGCAGGCTGTGGAAGCCAAGTCTTGAAGAAAGAACAGTGTGCTGGCAGAGGGGGTCCTTTCACAGAGGAGCGCATACCTGCAATCACAGGTCACATACACACAGGTGCCTTCATGGAACTGTGTGCAGCTCCCAGGGCCTACAGGGGATATATGGTGGGAGAAGAGGTGACAGCCAGCCTGAGGAATCTAGCCTTTGTCTTAAATGGGGAGAGTAGGCTCACACCATGCATCTTTTTATTGGAAGGAGAAGCAAAGTCTAAGGCTTCTAAGGCTGCTGGCCACCAAGCTGTTTTTCCGTTGAACTAGTCCTGAATGCACAGAACCCTGGGGCACCACTGTAGGAGACTAAGCACACTGCAACAATCTGTGTTTCAGGAAAATTGGTGGACACTTTACCACTACCTCATCAGCAGTTCCCTACCATATAGGACAAGGCTTCCACATGACACTAGATGAACACCAGGGACAGTGACTTTTCTATCAGCTTTTACACAATTAGGTCTGGAAGCATGGCAGACATCAGCCCTGCTGTAGTACACTGTGTACCAACCAGGCTCTGAAAGGCAATGGAAGTGGAGGATGCACTGGGGAAGGCAGAGTGGCTGTCACCCACAAAAACAGCATTCTTCCTAGCCTGAGCTTCCCATTTCTCAACTTAGTTTAGTTGAATGCAAAAAGCTCTAGCTGTGATTTATGCTGACAACAGCATTTGTACCTCTTCCCCCTGCTGTATTGGGAGATTAAACCCAGGGCCTAACATTTGCACTCTTGAGCCAGGGTAAGGACACACATGACAAGCATTACCAGAACTCTTGCCAGTGTTTCTTAAAGTGCCGTGCTCATTTCACCAGGCAGTGGGTGTCCTGATCTCTAGTTGTAGTGCCAAGGAAAGTCTTTGGGTCAGTCAGTAGAGGGATGCTGTGAGCATCTGGGACAGCCCTGGCAGTAGCAGAGGCAAAGCAGATGCAATACTCGGGCAGATACCAGATGGTCACTGACCAGCAAGGAGAAGGACAAATCCAGACAAGCTGCCCTCATAGTCCCTTAGTGTAATCTTAACCACCAAGAAGTAACTGCGGAACAGGGATAGAGTACAGCTGCTGGGCTGAAAGGCTAGGCACCCCCTGCTCTGAGCTTACTGCCCTCCACCCTCAGTGCCTGCAGCCAGGGACACAGGCCCTCATAGGCTCCCCAGTATGGATGCCCTTTATACTCTGAATGTACCTTACAACTCTCCCACAGGCATCAAGCTACTTCTTTTGTGCCTTTGTTCATGCCGATTTGTCCAGAATGACACCCCCTTTGGACTCTCACACCTTTTCACCTAATTTCCCCTCATCTGTTAAACTGCAGTTCAGACAGCAATGGTGGGAAGTTCTTCCTTGAGAGGCTCCTCCTGGCCCTAACCCCAGCTGGGAGCCTGCCCACCCATTCCCTATTATCTTGATTTTGCTAATTTCTTTGCATTTACAAGTTTATTAAAATCATCTATATATGTGTTCATTTTACCCACTGCACTATGGGCTCCCAGGTAATTTTCCTTATTTACCTTTGGAGCCTCAAGTTCTGGTTCTAGACCTGATACAGAATAGCTATCAGCTAATTTTTATTAAACAAGAGGGCCCTCCCATAACCTCAACAGTCCAGGGCTTTTAGAATGGGAAGGAAATAAACAACCACTTCCTGCCTTGCTGGTGCATATGGCACTTTCCACTTGGGTGTCCACATTTTCCCATCTACCAACCCTCCAGTCCGTTTTCTACCTCCCTTCTCCACCAAAGCTGCCCTGCCCCACAGGTGAGAATGAGCCCACCAAGCCTGAAATTTCCATGGAGTCATCGGCTGTGTGAGTCAAGTGGGAGGTCAGATGTAGGACAGTACAGGCAGTGTAAGTTCTGGTGTCAAAACAGACCTGTATTCAAATCCCATCCCATTTACCAGCTATGTGATAAAAACTCTTTACTTTTCTGAAATTGTTTTCCATGTATAAAACGGGAGACTAATTTCTCCATAGGATTTGCTTTAGGTTGAGTCCCCCCAAGAAGTGGATGTAACTTGAGGGCAAAAACTTTATTTGGGAAGATCCAGAGCAGGGCCAGGACTAGGGTGATGCAAGTGAAATGTCTAGGATGCAGAAATGTAACAAGACCTCTCAAGTTCTAACCCTGCATTTACATGAAACTGTTACCTAGTCCTGGTCCTGACAGGAGAGTTGGAAGCAAGGTAGCAAGGGAAAGATGCCAACAGAGAAGGGTACATAATTAAGTCGTTGCTGGGAGGTACTGACACTCAATTCAACAGAAAGAAGAATAGAATACACCTTATTCCACCTGAGGGGTAAAGAAGACGGGGTATTTATCATTCAACTTTCATTTTCACTGGCTGAGAGCTACCCCAGGGCACTGCTCCCCTGGAACTTCTAGCATGTACCAACATAAGCCAAAAGAAGTCCTCAGGCAGGGCATCATAGGTACTTCCAAAAGAGCCCTGTGGGAATGCAGTAGAAGGGTGAATGCCCAAGGGAAGTGGGCCAGGCACAACATCTTTTGGAGGGCTGTTGTAAGGATGAAATAACACAGCTACAATGCCTGACACAGAGCAATCTCTGTCTTTCTCCCAATTTATGGCAATAGCTTGTGAAGCTCATGAAGCTTCCCAGCTTTCCATGAGTTGGCAACACCAGCATTATAGCCGCTTCCTGTCTTTCAGAAGAACCACCCAGGGTCCCCAGGAGAGCTCCAAATGTACAGGAACCAAGCTTTCTGTGGCAGGCTGGTGGTTGATGGGGCTATAGTAGATCCTCTGAGTGAGTGCTCAGTCCTCAGAAATATCTCCTCTTGCATCTGCACTCTACCTTTCTCTGGTCCTTCCACCCCTCACTGCAACACTACTTATGACACACAAGACTTATGTCAAATTAGTAACAACTGCTGCCACTAACTCCCTATCTTCTATGTGACAGACATTGTGGTACAACTTTTATATACATTATATTAATCCTTAGAAATATGTAAGCATAATTTTTCTTATTTTGTGGGCAAAGAAAACTAAGTACAGAGAGGCTGGGTAACTTGTATCAGAAGCAGAGAGCAGACTTGGTTTGGTTTGACACACTTTCTACTTTGTCTCTTGTACCTTTTTCACTAATCCTCCCCCTGTAAGACCATAGCACAGGGAAGGAAAAAAAAAAAAAAAAGCAGCAGCAGCCCTTATTGAAGATAGCTGGGGTAGGTGTGTTTGAGGTGGGGGACAGTGATTGTTCTTCCCTTCATTCTCCATTAACTAATAAATAAGCCTTTGGTTCCTGGTCTGGCTGATCCATACCCTCGTGCCACTGAACCAAGTTCTATGGCAACTGCTCATATTTAAGTTAAATAATTTACCTTTGAGAAACAGCTCTTTCCCTTTTCTTCAGGCAGAGAGAGAAACACGGTCCCCTGTTTACAGAGCTCTACCTCCAATAAAGTGCCATTTAATGAGAAAGATGATGAGCAAGGGTTAAGCAGTTGGGACTTAACTGATAAACTACTTTTCCTTAGAAGGAAAATAATGAATACTAGAGTCAAAATAAAGCATTCTTTAGAACTGAAGAGTAGCAGCACCACAGTTTTACTGACATGAACAAAGAGTGGCTTTATTTGTTCCTCTGAGCCTTTGTTTCCTCATCTGAAAATGGGTTATAATATCTATTTCATAGGGTTGCCATGAGGATTAAATGTAATGAAGGTACATTCATTACCTGGTCTATGGTAACTGCTCAAAAAAAATAGCTATTACATACGTGATATAGCTGCAATGTCAGTACCATCCAACAACAAGACATCATCTATGGATGGCAGTGAGCAGCCTGCCTTTTAACTGAAGGAGCTCGTGTGCAAATGTCCCTAGAGCAGGATACAGTGTCTTAACGTCTGTGCTGATTCTTACATTCTAGCTACCTTCCCCAGGCTAACTAATTTTAATTAAAATAAAGGAAATGGTAACGTGGGATACAATAAATCAGAAGAGTCTGCATTGTGTGCCCATTTATCATGACGCAAGATCTCTTCCTGGTCAACAGCTACCTCCTACAATCTCTCAAGCCATCTTCAAAGCAGCTGGGGCCAAAGCTAGCTTTCTTAAGATACCTGTTTGTTCATCTCCCTCAGGTAGCTACCTCTACCATTTCACAACCTCTCATTTTGGAGTCTGCTTATACACTGAGGACAGACCATATTTTGTTCTGCAGTGGAAGCTCCCAGGCAAAGTAATGGAAGAATATGCATTACCCCAGTAATGTTAGTGGAATAACAGTCACTATTGCTGCTATGACCTTTGACAGGAAGAAAAACCAATATTATTTTGAACATATGACTATGCCTGGCATCTCTACCAGTTAATCTATTTTGAAAAAATAATCACATAGGAACTAATACCAGACTGCATACCTAAAAAATCCTAGGGAAAATGGCAGGGCACTTCTCTCAAATATTCTATGCTCTAAGAATTTTTTTTTGCAGGGCGGCTGGGGTCTGGGGATTAAACTCAGGGGCACTTAACCATTGAGCCATATCCCCAACCCTTTTTTTTTTTTTAAATTTTGAGACAGGGTCTTGCTAAGTTACTTAGGGCCTCACTAAGTTGCTGAGGCTGGCTTTGAACTTATAATCCTCCTGCCTCAGGCTCCCAAGCCTTTTGGATTTCAGGCATGCACCACCATGCCCAGTTTTGGGCTGAGAATTATTAACTGGGGGAGGACAAAAAGAAGCGGCAGGTCACTGAATCAAAGGGAAAGCAGAATAACTCTGGTGTCAGAAACAATAATGGTAGTAACCACACAGTATTCAGAACTGTTCTATAAGTAGTTGTAAGTGGGATGTCAAAGATTACTAATGAAATCCATTCAGAAACACATAATTTATGACAACTACCTCCACAATTAAAATATCCTCACCCAAACCCCCCCAAAAAGGAAACTCTTCTCTATTGAAATAAGATTTCATACATAGATAAATATATTTAAACTTTCTTTTAACTATAAGTAAATTCAAACAGACTGTTATAAAACAGAATACTTTACACAGCTGTCTGTATAGATCATAGAAAACAAAAAACCAAGATGTTGAGTGAGTGGGTGCTGGTGGTGAAAACTGCAGGATCAAAATTTGCTAAACAATGAAATGGGGGCTACTATGGCTTAATGAACATGGCCCACCCTGATTACTAATGGTCTGTCAACCTTTGAACTCTAGAAATTCAAGATTTTCTCCTTCTTCCTCTGCCTGCTTTGGTCCGTGTCCGGCTAGCTGGTCGGACAGTAAGTTGCTTTTTGAAGTCCACTAAGCAATCTGTGGCTTCTGAAATGGAAACAAAAGACTTGATAGGAGATTCATTTAATCCAAGCTGTGTGAGGGAACTCTGCATCTCTCTGCTGCAGCCTGCCTCTTCCTCACCTGGTGAGGGCAACCTAGAAGGAAGGGGAAATTTTAAGTTCAATATACACCTACTGGACCCCAAATATGTGCTATGCACTATATGAGGGGCTTTTACATATAATAGTAGTACACATAATCTTTGTAACAATCCAACTAGTTAAGTACTATCATTGTACAGATAAGGAACTAGGTGAATCACATAACCTAAAAGCATTGAAAGAATGAGGATTCAGACTCAAATTCCCAAGCTGCCTGAAATCTAGGTCCAAAGGATCAGGGTTGGATGGGGATAGAGAAGTCAGGTGAGTAGGACCATAGCTTCTGCTCTATTTGTTTTAATACCGTAAGTGAAAGAAGCTATCCATGCCATTCTTAGCTCAGATGTATAGTAATTATAGACTTGAGAGAGACAAAGACAGAGACAGAGGCATCATACTACTTCCACAGTAATTTATATTTTCAACAGTTTGACTATCACACTCACAAAATCCAGGACCAGGCCTATACTTTTCAGAACTGCTGACAGCTACATTTCTGTGTATACCTCAACTCACCTGAAGGTTCCTATTTCTGAAGACTTGGTTTTTATCTCTGCATCTGTGATAGGAAAGAAAAAGTAATAATGTTGGTAATCATAACACTTGTCACTGATCTGGTATTTCCTGTATTCTAGGCGCTGTTTTTCATCAGGCCTATTCAAGTAGCTCAGACCCCCAATCCTCAGACCAAAGGAATGTGAGCATTAGTATCCAACAGGCTCAGCGGCAGAATTATCAAGGTGAACACTTTTCAATGAACCACCTCTGAATAAATCTACTTCAAATCTGGACTTGAGCAATAAGGAGTTGCCAAGGGAAATCTGCCACCTGCAGAGATTCACAACCTGGTGATCTGGAGGCAGCAGGATGTAGAGCTTGGAAAGGCTGCCTTTTTTATAGTCATCAGAAGGCACAACAGATTAGCTTGGAGGGAGTGAACTATTAGAACTACATGGTAACAAATCTTACCAAGCTTAAGCAAAAGCTCCTCTTTCATCTACATCTGATAAATTTGAACAATAGTGACTAATAGCAACAACAGTAATAATAGCAGCTAACATTTATTAAGAGCCTTATTTATGCCAGAGAATACAATCTATAAAGTTGGTATTACTAACATTCTGCAGTGCTCTTGACCAATACATTCTAATCTCCCTAAAAAAAAAAAGAAAGAGAAAGAGAAGGAGTTACTTCCTCCAATCCCCCAGAAGCATAAGTTGGGAGGCTAAGCTAAAGGTAATATATGAATGATGAACAAAACATCAAGAGGAAGCAGTAATGTCTGCATGTCTAGTTTTCCACACTAGTTTCTTTAGAAAGCTTACTCTGGTATTGTGTCATTCCCCTATGATTTGAACATGTTTCCCAGGCCTGCTATCAGGCCTTTTTAAAGCCTGAAATGAATCACATGAATAAGATGAGTTATCTCCTCATCTTCTTAGGGAGAGATAACCTAGACTGAGTCTCAAAGGTCAGCTGATCAGGCCAAAAATGCACTCACATAACTTCCAACATATAGTTAGGAGTTGACAGTGGCCCTGGAAGGCTTTAGACAGAAACTCAGAAAACTAATCCTAGGATTCTCACCTTCAGTCTTATGCTCAGAATGTTCCAAGAGACTGAGGAGTCTCCCTTCATTGTGGCCTTTTTCCTGTGACAGAGAGAAACAGATGAAAGGGTTACTTCGTGGAAGAGTCTAAAATATATGTGCCTTAGCCCAGATCACACCTATTTTCCAGAAAATAAGAGGTGTGGCAAACAGCGCTAGGGAAGTCTTTTGCTTTCTAATAAATGAGGGAAGACAAGAAAAAAAAGTAAACTCTAATACATAGAATACATCTCTATGTCAAGAATAGATTCTATTAGCAAGCCAAATCAGTCCACTAAAATCACATCAAAGAACACCTGCCTCAGACCTATGATAGATTTGGGGAGATTTAAAATAGAAAATAAGTTTCAAGGTAGCTTCTACAGGTAGCAATACCAAAAGAATAAAATGGCTCTTTGGTGTAAGTAAGCTCTCACCTATGAACCATAATTTCAAATCACCACATCAAAAAATTACCCATTCATAGAAAAATCCCCTTCTTCTTGCATGACAGAGAATGGCTTCCTCATTGTGAGTTCAAAGCCAGCCTCAGCAAAAGCAAGGTGCTAAGCAACTCAGTGAGACCCTGTTGCTAAATAAAATACAAAATAGGGCTAGGGAATGTGCTCAGTGGTTGAGTCCCCCTGAGCTGAATCCCTAGTATACCCCCCCAAAAATGTTTAGAACTATTGTCCCAATAGTTTCATTTCAGGAAATCTATTCTAAATAAATAATTGGTGGTACAAAGACAGACTAATATATTTAAATGCTTTATAATACAAAAGGATTATGAAAATATCTAAATGTCCAATGGTTAGGTGACCATATGTGATACAAACGTTAACAGTAATTGTTAAAAGTAGTTTAAAAATAAACCCAGAAAAATGTTTATACTACACACTGTTTTTTTTTAAGAGAAATAATTTTTTTCATATTTATTTATTTTTTTTAGTTTTCGGCGGACACATCTCTGTATGTGGTGCTGAGGATCGAACCTGGGCCGCACACATGCCAGGCGAGCGGGATACCGCTTGAGCCACACCCCCAGCCCCTACACATTGTTTTTATAGCCCCTACACATTGTTTTTATAAGTCCTAAAAAATTTATACTATTATATACTATATGATTATAAAGCATATATAATCCTATATGGAAGAGTCTAAAATATATGTGCCTTAGCCCAGATAACACCTATTTTTTATATATAGCATGCATGTGTGTGTGTGTATATGTGTGTATATAAAATATTATGTATGATGTGTATATAAAGAGTGTATATGTACATGTAGTATATATATCTTGTGTATGTATAAAGAATGGAAGAAAATAAGCCAAAATATTTAAAAAGTTGCTATCTTTGAGTAGCAAATTATGGGTGATGACTTCTCCTGGTTTTTCATAATTCTACTGAACTTTCATTGTTTTCTATAATGAACATGTATTACTTTGGTTTTGGTTTTGTTGTTGTTGATGGTGGTGGTGCTAGGAATTGAATCTAGGGTTTTGTGCAAGCTAGGCAAACACTCTATCATTGAGCAACATCCCTAGTCCAAATTACCTTTTAAGTTAAAAAGTAATTTAAAAAAAGCAAAAATTCTATTTCAAGATAACAGGAAGGAAGGGGAGAGGGAACAGGAAGCCCAGAAAAGAACTATTATGGCCTCTTAAAATTAAGTAGGGTTAGGTAGACTTTCCCAAAACACTCCCCACATACCTTTGGATTCCTCAGCCACTTCCCTTTCAGAGTTGAACATGCTCTACCACTTCCTTCAAGTCCATTTCCTTGGTTACTCCTTGCAAGCTGGAGACAGGAATCTACATGATATTGATACTCTCCAAATGGGACCAGGGATTTACAAAGATAACACTTTTCAACCCTAGCCAATCAGAAGAGAGAGAAAAAGCAGTTTTAAGATTTGCATTTGCCTCTGGGCTCCTGGATATGTCTCAAATTGTGTTTTTACATCTTGAAGTTATTCGCTGAGGAGATACGTCAACCAATGAAGATTTGCTCAGCGGGATTACCAATAAAACTAACCCCATGCCAATCAAAAGGACTGAGTGATTAGCATTTTCCCTGGCTGTTTCTATGTATCCTGCTGTTGCAGCAGTGGGATGGTAATGAAATCAGCTCTTCTAACTATCTCAAACAATGCTGATTGCTCCTCCGACATAAAATATTCTGTCAAACTCTTCTGAAATTAAGTGTAATCGTTTTTTTTTTTTTCAAAGAGAAGTTAAAATTTTGACAGAAAAGGGAGTACCAAGAGCATTAAATCAAGATAACATTTTTACCAGGTGGATGAACTCAATCTGATTAGTAAATCTAGTCTGTCTATATGCTAACTTCCTTACTCTACAACCTGTAACATCAACTAGGAAGTTACTAAAACATGTGGGCTTGCCAGGGGCTTTTGCATAATTTCATATACATGGTTATTTTTGTCTTTTTAAAACAACATAGTTTGGAAAGAGAGAAGAAAGTATGCCCTTGAAGTAATGTTTATTGGATATCATTAAAACCGGAATTATTTGGGGCCAAAGAAAAAAAATCAATACATTAAGTACTTTCTCTGTCGTCAATACCTGTGGAAGGCCCTTGAAACATATTTCTCAATTAATTCTTCAGCACTATTAGAAAAGAACATTCTTCTCAAGGTCTTATATCTCATAATTACCAGAACGTACATACCTCTA